CACTGGAATATAATCCATGATAACTTTGGAATAATTCATTTTTCTTTATGTTATTAAGTAAATCATTATATATACCGTGGGGTAACATTATATATTTTTGCTCTATACCAACAAGAATATTTTTAGTAGAACTATTTTGAAAATGCTATAAACTTATTACAAAATTGTAATAGAACGTTCATGTGGTGCAGCTAAAATATCATTAATTTTTATGCTTTAAACCATATTTTAATATACTTTGTTTTCTGCAATTCTTCAAGATACAATAAAGTAACAGGATCAGAGACATAATATCTATCTGTGCTTGTCAACTGACAGAACAATTAACCAGTGGAACAACTTGCCTCCAGAAGTTATGAATGCCCCAACACTGGAAGTTTTTAACAAGAAATTGGATAACCATTTGTCTGAAATGGTATAGGGCATGGGTGTCAAACTCGCCAGGTCATGTGACGTGTCACTTTTTTGCATTGCAGGAGCTAGGGTGGGCGCGGCCTCCGTATGATGCAACTGGCCCGCGGGCCAGCAGTTTGACACCCCTGGTATAAGGTTTCCTGGCTGAGCAGGGGGTTGGACTAGAAGACCTTCAAGATCCCTTCCAACTGTGTTATTCTAACTCCTGACTTGCCAAGAGATGCAGTTGAAATCCTAACCCAGTGCCTGGAAGAAGTGAAGGTCTGGATGGGGAGGAACAGACTAAAGGTCAGTCCTGGCAAATTCTGACCATGGACTATGTCTATTTGCCCCCCATTCCCATCTGAAAGTATTCTTTGTTGACTCTCAAATCAGGCTGCATTTCCCTATATGAGACTTGTATGCAATCTGGGGATCCTCTTGAACTCTTAGCTTCTGCTTATTGAGGAAGTGGAAGCTGTGGCCAAAAGGTCCTTTGAACAGGTACATCTAATATACACCAGCTGTACCTTTCCTGGACCAGGAGACTCTTCAGAGTCATCTGTACCCAAAGTACCTCATGATTGGATTAAGGTAGCATGCTTTACACGGGGATGCCTTTAAAGATCATTCTGAGGCTACAGCTAGTTTAGAATGTATGGGGAAGACATTGATGGGGGCATCATGGTATGTACATATGATCCAACTACTTTGCAAGCTGCACTGGTTGGCAATTGGCTTCCATGTTTGTTCAATTCAAGGTACTAATTAACACCTGTGAAGCCCTTCATGTTATTGGGCTTAGCTATCTGAGAGACTGTCTTCAAGTTCTCTTTGCCTGTCTGATTTGATCCAACAGGTTGAGTGCATTTTGGATCCTGTTGATTAAAGAATGTCATTCTGAAGGAAAGCATACTCTATTGCACTATGAAATAATCTCTCCCCCTGCCCCCTCCCCCGAGATTTGGGTGGGTCTCATTGTTATATCATTCAGAAACTACTGAAGACCTGGCTGTTCTCCCAGGCACAGGGGATAGGGTAATTGTGGCACCCTTTTTTGTCTTATGTTTTGATCTCTTGGTTTGGTTTCTATTTTTCTGGTCAGCTGTATTTTTATATGCTGGTTTGTGATTGGAGGAAAGAGTGGTTTGGAAGTTGGGTGGTCTAGCAAGTAAATTTCCTCCCATTAGCTAATTTCCAATAATACTTTTGAAATACACTGGAAAGTTGCCTCCTCTTTATGTAAATTCATTCAATCTCACTATTTTCAACAAGGCTTACTCTTAATTACTAGTAACAATTTCAAAGTAAGTAATCTATTTCTGTAAGGGATCATTGCAACTATAAAAATTATCACATTTCCAGTTCCAAAAGTATCATAGTTTTATAGTATGCTTGCTCTTTAACAATCAACTCAAAGCAGGTATATATAAAAATGTGTAAAATTAAAACTAGCAAGGAATAGCATTATTCAACTAATACATGGTTTAAAAAAATTCAGAGTGACAATAAGTTTAATCATTATTATCCTTAGTATACTGATATGTGGTATATGTCTCACTTCTATGAGGGTTTGATCTTCTGATGCCCTCTGTTCTTATGTAAAGGATATTCTGTCCTTCAATCCAGAAAGTTCCATGAAGTTAATCAAATTAAATTTTTTCAATAAAAATAAACAGAAAAGGCCATTCAATTCAATTAGATCTATAATGGATCCCAGCACAAGAGGAACGTTATCGCTGGAAGGTGGATTCTTCTATTTCCAGCAAGTTTAATTTTTATTTACAATATCCCCATATCATTTCCAAGATTCAAAGAAATGGCTTCTCAAAAATTACTAGTGAAGAAAAGGATAAGGTCTACTCCCCATTGCTGGCTTACACAAATTTTCAGGACACTTTTAACCTTACTGAACCTGTAACAACAGGTTCCAAAGTCCACTTTATCTTGCATTATGCAGAAAAAGAAACTTTCTGTGGCTGATATCAGGCATTATTATGCCATTAAGATGCAGTCTTTGTTAATCATAACTGGACATTCTTGTCCATGTGTGAAGAAACGCTCTGGTTCCTAATAAACCAGAAGCATGTTACAGTTTATTCTTGATTTCTATCTTCTCTTCGAGAGATTTTATACACACACACACACACACACTTTGGATAAATCATACTAGTGTATTATTTTTAATGTATTAAAAATTACTGAAACAATGAGATGAGATATCCAACACCATTCGGAAAGCAATATTAAAGAACTTGTATACAAGAATCTCACTATTGCAATATTTTCTAGAATATGCAGAAGAACGCTAATAATCCCATCTCAAATACTATGAGAAAGTTATATAATTATTAAATAAGAAACTGAGCACTTTAATTGCATTTCATACCATGAAAAGCAATGCTGAGATGTAAATTTTAAATATCAAGTAAGTCATACACTATTTTCTTAACCAATTGTTCAATTAAAGTATCTAGCTGGAGCCAAAGATACCATTCCACTCACAGCAGAAACTGCAGCTCATGTAAGTTTTATGAGTTGTTGAAGTCTTTTTCTTCATGAAGAGGAACTTTTTTGATTCAACCTCTCAATTTTATTGTTCAGTGAGCTGGACTCCCCATGTACTGAAAAGAAACAATGAGGCAATTTCTGAATGATTCCTTTGTCTCCTGAAAATGTGTCTTTGAAGACATGGGAACTTACCAGAGACCATAATCAAGATGTAGCAAAACAGAAAATCAATGAAACTGTCTCTCCATTCCCTTTCACCCATAAATAAATGGGGCTTTATTTCTGGATCATCTAATCTGGATTCAACTGAGATTTTTTGCTTCACAGAAAACACTCCCCCCCCATAATTAACGATTTTCAAAAGAAAAAGATATTTTCATTTACTAGTCATATCACCAACCAAAACTCTGTATTTTTATTGGCCTTTGCTGTTGAAGTACACCAAACAATTAAAAATAGATAGCTCAAATCTTCAGAAAGACAGTTTTATTAACAAGAGGCTTAGTACGTTTAACAGTGTAGTACAATCAATCATGTCATTTTTTCAGGAGTGCACCATCTCAGTTCCTGTCAAAGCAAATTCAAATCCATGAATTACAATAGTTGTAATGCAGCCACCTCTTCATTGCAACACCTTCACAGTCTTTCAAAGAATTACTGAACTGCAAAAATCCTCCCCTGATGTAGCATTCAATAGGCTTTTGCATCCATCTGACACACTGGGTGAATAGAACAGTCGCCACTTGCATTTCTATATCAAAACAGGCTGTGCACTTCAAATGTTCTATCATACACAACTCAAAAGACTGTTTAACTAGGAACTTAATAGCTTTTAAGTTGTTTAAAATACAATGATTTTCAAAGGGTTTTTCAAACAACTTATTTCAATCTTTCTATTTTTAAACTTTAATCATGAATAATCCAAATTTCTACTTTGATTTTTCTATATAATGGTATCTTCTCTTTCCTAAGAAAATCCTACTAAAAAAAACAACACTACATAGAGATTGAAAGTGAAAATATAAGCCATTGTAAAGACTGTAAGAACTCAAATGTACTGGGATATGTTTGCAAAGCTTTAATGTCTTAAATGATCCATAGTAATAATTCACAAGAGTTCAAGAAGTAATAGTAACACAAATGATTACTAACATTAACACTTCGCATCAATCCCTTATGTTCATGTATTAAACCAAGAGATTTTATAAGAATGTGATTCAAAAAGATACACAACATACACAGTATACAAAAACCAAATGATAAGCATCCTATTCCAACTGTTAACATACAATCCTAACAAAATCATCTAATCAAACAATTTTTTTTCAAGTTATGGCATTGCATGGCACCTTCACGTATTCATTTTAATCATACAGTGAATAAAAATGCAGAACGACAACAAGGGTACCTGCACTTGTGGCAAATATCTTATATTCTATATAATCAATTGCAATAAAAACTAAAATTATTCCACAAAAAAGCTGGAATTTTACGGATTGTTCTGTTCATATATAGGAAAAGTGCCTATCTCTGTAATTTCACTGTTCATACACCAAGAATCTTTGAAAACAAGCACAAAAACAATCTGTGTATACTTTGACTTTATTTAGTTGCAAAGTAAGACTTTAAAAACAGAAAAATCTTTGACTTGTGTAGACAAAGAAATTCAGTCAGCTTTTAACCAACTCTAGGAATATCTAGTTTCTATTTTACAATGGCTTCAACAGCACCCATTAAGAGATCACTATCTTCATCATGACAATTTTCTTCAACTTTCCTAACTTTCAAGAAACCAATCTGGACTCCATGATGAATATTTCATGGTCAAATTGAGCATTAAAAAACTTCTCTATTGATGAGAATCTTTCTCCATGTATCTGTACTGGCAGAACTGCACATCCACTCTGGTGCATATTTTCTCTTGCAGCAACTGTTCTGTAAACAGTTAAACCAATGTTCTCTTTTTTATCAAAACAAATCTGTAATTTAAACAAATTATGGTTTCTATCTGGAGCTACTATAAAACAGTCTGAATGCGTAAATCACAGCACTAATATCTAGTCTACAAGGATGTTATACTCCAACTAACCTAGAACAAGTTTGACTTTTCGTGAGCCTATTGGTCTGTCATTCAGATCAACAACAGCTGCCATTGCTTCATCACGAGATTCAAATGCAACCATTGCTTCACCGGTAGGCATGCCTTTCTCATTGTATTTTAAACACACTGAACCTGGGATAACTTGATAACCATAGAAAAAATCCAAAATTTCATCCACTGATACAGTAAAGGGCATATTTTGAACTTTAATGACAGTAGGCCCGGGCTTACCAGAGCCAGCTCCAAACCCAGGTGGCCCAGTAATATGCATGTTTCCAGGTCCAGGTCCAAACCCCGGAGGTCCACTTATATGTCCTAGCCCACTACTAAGACCTGGAGGTCCACTACCAAAACTAGGAGGACCAGTTAAATTACCAGGACCATTCCCAAAATTCTGAGGACCTCCTCCAAAACTAGAGGGCCCTGTTAAATTACCAGGCCCACCTCCAAAACCTGGGACATCAATACCTGTACCAGGCAGAACAGGCAAGCCACTGCTTCCGATAGTAGGCATTCCTGGCCTGGAGTCACCAAAACCACCTCCCCCTATTCCTGGTGGTGGAAGAGGAGGACCAAATACATTAGAACCACTGAAATTGCCAGGAAAATGAAAAGGAGGACCACTCTTTGCATCTTTTGAACTACCACTTATGAAAGAATGCTCATCCCCACCAGCATTTTGTACTCCTGGCATTGCTGTACTCCCTTGCAATGGCATTTTCAACATTTTTTTCCCTTGAGAGGGAGGATTTCTCTCAATTTCTCTCATTTCTTCAAGAGAAATCACTCTCAACACAACATCTCTCCCATTCAGTTTCTTTCGATGCAGGCGCTCTGACTTACGAGCATCTTCTTCAGTTTTGAATTGGACCAGTGCTTGTCCTAATCCTTGTCCATTAGTATCAACAAGTATCTGTATAGAATTTTCCTCTACGGCCAGCCCCTCAAGAAATTGAAGAATTTCCATTTTGGTAATATTGTAGGGGATATTAGATATATGTGCACAGAGTTTAGATGGGTTCGTCTCTCCTTCTGCATTTATCATAATTTCTCTCTGATCATAGTTGAAATTCTGTAGTCTTTTCCGAATCATATCTATTTTTTCTAACATAGCTTTTTTAGTTATGGGATGAACTTGAATGAAACGATTTCCTATGTACTGTTTATGATGACACAAAGCTGATTTGTAGTCAGTTTCATTTCTGAATTCAACAAAACCTTCACCAAGTGCTTTCCCATTGGGTCCATAAGCTATGTAAATGCTGTCTTCCACAATATCTAGTTTTTTAAAGAAATCAATTACATGTTTGTTCTCAGATTCAAAGGGAAGACCTTTCAAATAAACGCAGAAGCCCTGATCATGAGGAGATCTGGATCTTGATCTTTTCTGTCCATTAGGAGATTTGGACATAGAGAGAGTTTGAGGAGGATGGTTTTGTCCAGAAGGAGCCATAGTTTGCTTGAATGTTATATGACCTCCTGCAGAAACCCACTGTCTCTCTGTTGCCGGACTAACTTCGACATAACGCTGAATCATCAGCATCCTGTTTCTTTTCAAGGCTTCAAATGTATCTTGAGGAGAGCAAAACTTAACTAGTCCATTTCCATTATTGCGCCCCACATGATCTTTCAGAATATGTACTGCATCCACACGGAGTCCATGGAAAAAATCTTTGACATCAGACTCTGTTGCTGAAAATGGCATTCCATGAACACTGACATACAAATCGTCTGGATTGATAGGAAGAGATTTCATGCTACTTTGAGAATTTATCTGAATGGCATTCATAGGATTCATGAACATTGGATTCAAGTTACTGCTTAAATTCATTGCTGTTCCAGACCCATTCATTCCAGCAGGCAAAGGAGCAACAGGTGGGGGATTCATAGGAGGCATTCCTGATAAAGGAGGCAGAGATGTCATAGGTGGGACAGGAGGAACAGGAGGTATTGGGGGGACAGGAGGCACAGGAGGCAATGTAGGAACAGGAGGCGGAACAGGTATGGGAGGAATAGAAGGCATTGGGGGCAATGATGGTAAAGCTGGAATAGGAGGTATTGGTGGAGGTGGAACTGTGTTCATTGGCGATGCAGTACTAGATATAGTAGAGCTAAAAGTGGGACTTCCAAAAGTAACACCCATATTGGGAGGTGCAGTTCCCATACTAGCAGTGGAAAATGTTGGTATGTTTTTGTTGCTTTCGTGAACTGAAGTAGCTGCAGTTACTACACTAGGAGAAGGGCTGTTAAAATTAGATACTGTAGTAGAAAGAGTCACCCTACTACTTATTCCAGAACTAGGTGGTGGAACAGATCTGCTAGCATTTGCTGGCGGTATATCTAGATTTGCTGTTTCAAAACGCCTACGACTGAGTTCAATCATGTTTTGCATTTCAGTTTTACTGCTTAGCAACAGGGTGACTTTGGACCCCTTAATGGTACCACCTGTGCGCATCATACCAAGCCTTGCATCTTCATCAGTGGCAAAGACGATGAAAGCCTCACCCAGCTCACCCCCTACAATATGCACGCCCCCATCAGGAATGGTCAATCCAGAGAAGAAGTGACGAATGTCCATAGTCCCCGCCACAATTGGGAGACCTTGTAAGCGGATGACCACAGCCATGCTGCGCTGAAATACACACACCTGCAGATGAGAAAAGCAACGACTAGGTCAGACTATTCATTGACACCACATGTTTAACCTAGAAATTATTACTTTTTAATGTTCCTGAAGGTCTTGAATGAAAATTCTATTTTCTACATCTATTTACGTGGTACTTTCTACAAAGACTAATGTAAAAGCAAGATCGTAACAAGTCTTTCAAGTAAACTGCAACATGAAGTGCCAAAGCTGTTAGCATGAATCCAGCCAAGAACTGGCACCGGAAAAAAAAAACCCTCCAAGAGAGTATCAAATCAGAACTTTACACAATCCAATCCACAAATTGCATTTGAAGCAGGCTGGAAAAATTATAATCAAAGCTTATATTTCAGGCCCAAACTATAACAAATAACTCTTTAAAGATAAGTGGGCATTAAAACCACTTATCCAATCACTTTGCATCTTTGCATCCTGATCACAGCTCCTCTTCATCCCTTGTTAAAGTTTCCTTTTCTCTCCTACAGTAATTTCTTTGTGTAAGCTAGAGGATCTGACACTGTATTTGGACAAAAAAACTCTAGAATTCCTAGCTACTATAGAACCTTCTTTTTTTTAGGAATAGCTACAAACCAGCAGTTCACTCTTATTTCTCAGTCTCTATAAAACCAATGTTAGATCTTTCTACTACTGACAGTATTAAAATATAGCCATCAACATCTCTGATTCAGCTAAGTAGCAATGACACAAATATTTCCATAATAAAAGATCTGGAATATCTATGAATGAATACACTATCAAGAATTACTATTTAACGTATGATTTAACATGAAAATCTTCCAAACATTAAAAAGAATGCTGGGATTCCAAGAATCTGCTCTATTAGGATTTTCATTCTTTCAAAAATCCCATTTTTTTAAAAGCATTTTCATGAAAGGGATTGCCTTTTGCTGTATCCATCTGCCTGCCTGGTTACTTAATTAAGCAGAAAGGGATCTTTTGAAAGTCCACCTCCAAAACTGTCAAATGTTTACCCATCCAATACACAGGAGAGAATCCTCTCCTGCAGTTCCCTAGCTATAGAATACATTCTCCAAGGAGGTTTGTTCAGGCCATATTACCATAGAATTTAAGAACAGTGTGAAAACCCATCTTTCATCAAGCTTTTACTTGACTGAGTTTTGATTTTAAATTTGCCTTGTTTTTAATTATTTTATGTTTTATAATTTGCATTTCTAATATTGTACTTTTTAATTGCTGCAATTTGCCTTGGATTTTACATAGACAGAAAACTGAGACAAAAGAAATAAAACTAAAGTCTCCTTATGGTTGCAGAGAATATTATTTTAACTGAAACCACCAAAAATTAATAGTTCTAAGAATGAAAGCTCAACCAATGCCTTAGAATTTATAACACAGATAAAATAAAACAGGAAATTAATAAAAGGTCATACTGCTAGAATCTTCAAAAGAAATTTAGTTTAGTTCTCCTTTAAAATATGTGTATGCATTTGTATCTCTATATATACTAAAATTAATGATGCAACAAAGCCATCCGTTCATCAATACAGGTAATCCTCGACTTACAACATTTCATTTAATAACAGTTCAAAGTTACAATGTACTGAAAAAAATGACTTATGATCATTTTTCACACAACCGTTGCAGCATCCCTATGGTCACATAATCAAAATTCAGATGCTTGGCAACTGACTCATATTTATGACAGTTGCAATATCCCAGGGTCATGTGATCATTTTTTGCAACCTTCTGACAAGCAAAGTCAATGGAGAAGCCAGATTCACTTAATAAACATGTTACTAACTTAACTGCAATGGTTCACTTAACAACTGTGGCATGAAAGTTCGTAAAATGGGGCAAAACTTACTTAACAAATATCTCACTTAGCAACAGAAAGTTTGGGTTCAATTGGGGTCATAAATTGAGGACTACCTGTATATGACACACTGAGAAGACATTGAAATTGGGAGTGGGTAGGGCTATGATGATCTACAAATTCTGCAGAACATGTAGACACACAATCACTGGCACCATAAATTCTGCTATTAAAAGATTAATATTCCCATACCTGAAAAATGTATAATAATTAAATAAACTTAATGACAAGGCAAAATTGGAGAAGAAATTTTGTGTCACCTTAAACAACGTAATTGGGGTTCCTTGTATTATGGACAAAAGATTGTGCCAAATCAGAAGAACTGCGCCAGAAGCATTCATATGTTGTTCATAGTATGTTTAGGTGTGTGTCATGTATGTGTTTCACTTTGAGAGCGGGCAACTAAATTTCATTTTTGATGTGTGCCATTGTGCCTACAGTAAAAAAATGACAATAAAGGTTATCTTATCTTATCTTAATTTGGTGTGTATTGTATTGTATTCACAACATAAGCTACATCATATCTGAACCTTACTATGGTTTTCTTCAGGCTAGATCATCAAACCATAGACCCATGTGAGCATATCTGCCTTTTCTAAAAATTAGTCAGATTCCTGGTGATTCAATTCTCAAGTACCTGCCATTTTCTTTAACACTAATCAAACTGCCAACTGATAATGCAGAGGCAAGCCTGCATCTTCTGAATTTTTAAAACAATAGATATGTGTAACAGTAATTAGTTTTTTATATTTTTGTCAAATTGGAATTGGCAACTGCTCTGGATTTGGTAGCATGCTTTCCTACATGAAGGCTATATGATTATAAAGAGTGACACCAGATGGTGTTCACATGGCCACTAATCAGAATGTCAAGCATGTCATATCTACCCAGATTTATAAGCCAGATGTAATTAATTATTTTTCTATCCTGCTTTTATTATTTTTACAAATAACATGGAAAATGAGCTAGAATGGTGAAGCATATGCTAAACAGAGATACTCCTACCATATCTATTTCTTCATCTTTAACATTGAAGGATATTCTTTGTGAAAACAAAGGGATGAAGAATTAGCAATCTCTTACTTCATACTTGATGATTTAAAACTTGACTAGCGTTATGAACACCTATTGTTTTCAAAAATCAGGAATTACTGGTTCCCCTCTGGTAAAAACTGTCAAGAGAGGCAGCTTGGGAGAAAGATGATTGGCAAACTATAGCTAATGCTATGTCTTAAGTGTACTGTGGGTAATTTTTTTACTTAAAGCTAATGCCAAACCCTAAAAATAAATTCTAAACCATTTTTTCACCTAATCATGATTGATATTTGCTTTTTATTTCCAAAATCACCATCTAGTATAAAAATATATATTATTTTATGTAATAATGTAAGATTATTTTATGTAATATTTTTTTCTGCTAGCAAATTCTTTATATGTATTAAAATCACTATTGGCCAATACTGTTAAAGAAAACAAATAAAATCTTCCAAATGCCATAGCACAGACATGTCAAACTCGCGACGTCACGTGACAACGTATTGGAGCTTTTTCGCCGTTGCTGGCAATGGGGTGGGTGCGGCTCTGACCGGCCCATGGGCCGGCAGTTTGACACCCCTGCTATAACAGATATTAGTAAAAAATGCATTTCCAAGTTTGCAATGGGAAAAATACTGTATCCAAAAAATATAAGTTACTCAAATGGAAGACAGTTCAAAATCCACACAAACTAGTTAATTATAATTATAATATTATAGTAATTATAAATTATAATTATTATAATTTAAGGCTAATGTATATAATAAACAAGGAATGAGTTTAAAATTGAGTTCCTATGTAATGGTCACATGTAAATATGCCTAGTGCTTTAAAAGTTAAAAACACTAGAAGCAGTCCAGTTTTCAATATTAAATGTATTTAATATCAAAAGTGAGCATTTAATAGGAAATTAGAAAATTACCTACTGTAACATTGATCATCATTGATCAAACAGGAATAAAAGAGACATATGCTTAGACATATAGGCCTTTGAACCATACATTCAATGCAGAACCTACCATGAATAAATTTTGTAAGTTGAGTGGTAAAACTAAGTGGCCTACTCAGTCTTTTAGGTGATATAATTGCCTTAGCCTTTTCTTGTGTTTATAAAGACTTAAGGGGTTTATTTTGCATTAACAATCCAATAAATATTCATTTTCCAAAGATTCAGATATTAACAATCAAATAAATATTCAAATCCTACTGATGCTTTTATTCAGTTTTTAAGAGCTATTCTGATTATTAAACAAATTACAGGTTTGACAACCTAGCCAAAGCTATTTGCCTTTCTGTGTGGCCATCAAATATAAGAAAGTCACAACAGCAGGCCAACTATTGTAAAAATATATAAAATACCATATATGCCGACGTACAAGGCGACCCGGCGTATAAGACGACCCCCGTCTTTATCGCCGGGCCGCATTCCTAGAACATCGTGTTATACACCGGAAACTACCAGTATTTCCGGTGTATAAGACGACTCGGCGTATAAGACGACCCCTGTCTTTGGCGCCGATTTCAGCGCTCGCGGAAGTCGCCTTATACGCCAGCATTTACGGTATATGTAAGAACTCTACAATACATCTCCAAATACAGGTTTTGGCTGAAGATAAGCTGGAGATTTCTCAAGACTTGAAGAATACTGCTTTGATCCATATAAGTACATCATACTTATATCCTTTGATGTAACACATAAATTACTCTACATTTCCAATTACTAAGCAAAATGCAATTATCATCTAAAAAAGCAATTACTAAGAGTTATATCCAAAACTTTCTCTGCAACCATAAACAATTTTGAGACCAATGCAGATAGCTGCATCTTTGTAATCAAATAATTCAGTAAAATAAATTTTCTCAAAATTCAGGTAGTTCACGACTTACAACCATTCATTTAGTGACCAAAGTTACAAAGGCACTGAAAAAAAAGTAACTTATGACCAGTTTTCACACTTACAACCATTGCAGCATCTCCATGGTCACATGACCAAAATTCAGACTCTTGGTAACTGGCATGAATTTATGACAGTTGCATTATCCCAGGATCATGTGATCAACTTTTGTGACCTTCTGACAAGCAAACTCAATGGGGAAGCCAGATTCACTTAATAATCACATTACTAAACTAAGTGCAGTGATTCATTCACCGTGGCATGAAAGTTTGTAAAATGGGGCAAAACAACTACCTTGCTTAGGAAAGGAAATTTTTGGTCAGTTGTGGTTGTAAGTTGAAGACTACCTGTACTAATAGACATTAGGCACCTTCGTCTATACCAGGATGTCAAACTTATCATATCGGAGCTTTTTCGCCATTGCCGGCACTGGGGTGGGCGCAGCTCCGATATGATGAAACTGGCCCGCTGGCCGGCAGTTTGACACCCCTGGTCTATACTTCAAAATGAATACTGGATAGATATGAGAGACATATATAGCTTTAAAAAATTCACACGACTGTCTTCGTAACGATAGTTAAAAATTGTACATTAACTTCAGTCGTTTACTAGTTTTAATATCTTCACTATGCTATTGGCATGCAGTAGTATTTTATATTTTGATAGCTACTCTACCTTTCAGATAGAGCAAAATAAAAATAAAGGGAACTATGATAAACCAACTTTATAAAGCTCTAATATCTAAAACCATTGGTTTTTTGTCATAGGGTGCCTATTTAGAACAATTTAAAATGTAAAGAAATAAAAAAACATTCTTCTGAAATGCAAAACATAATGACTGTACATAAACAGCCTCTTCATATTGAAAGTACAAGCAGCACATACAAGCAGCATATTGCATTCTCCAGAAAAACAGCCTGTCCATATATTCAAGAAATATTCTAAAAATCTGTTAATGTAAATAAATATACTAAACTGGGACGTCGAGAAAAAATCTGTAATGTTTTGGTGATTGAAATGTTTAAAATCAATGCATATATTCAAAATCACCGCAAAATAATCTTTAATAGTCAAATTGTGCTCATTAATGATAAATATATTTTGAGAGCATCTTACCTGCAAGGTGAGACTTTTTTTTTTCCTTAACAAGTAGTAGAAGCCAAGTCAATCCTGTGGGCAACCAATTAAAACCAACTTTTAGACTGCAATAAAGAATAAATGGAGGCAAGAATCAATGCAAGCAACATATAGCTAGAGTTAACAGTCCATTCTGAACTGTGCATTAAAGAAATCTTGGGGGAAAAACCATGATAAAGTACTCCCAACATACAGCAAACCACAAGTTTGGGTATGCCCAAATTAAAACTTCTGTTTATCCCTCACACTAGTTCACAATAACTGCAATTAGTATTTATTTTATATCAAAGTACAAACATAAACATGAAAATAAACTAAAAAACCATAACATACTGTATTCTCTCAAACTTGTATTCTCATTAGATATATAATTTGCCAATACTGGTTTCAAAAAGATGATTATTTTTCCCTTATCAAGAAAAACTAGAAGTAATTTGTCACCCAGTTATATAGGAAAAACCTCTCTAAACATACGGTAATAACCTTTGAGATTCTGCCACAGTTGCAGAAATCATATTAAATCCTCAATACCATGCATCAACCTTCCCTTCACATATTTTTCTATAAAACTATCACTGACCAACTCAGTTACAAAAAATGGTATAATCCAATACAAATTAGAAACAGGACAATTCCATTCTCAATGGAGTAAACCAAAATATTATTCCACAATCAAAAAAATACCAAACATTCAGCAAGATTGTCCATTTTGGCACCTTAGGAATACCTCCTTTACTACAAGATCTGTAATCTGGCACCCATTAATTACAAAGTCTAACCTATCCTATTTAAAGAAAGAAAACTAAACAAACAAACAATAGAATAAAAATGTCATGAATGCCTCAGCAAGTAGTGATGTGAACCAAGGGTATTTAAACATTACAGAATAGAACTTTTTAGTGACCTGTATTCTAATAATTTACCAAGAGTTTAAAACTGGCATAATATAATCACATGATTAATAATTTCCACCAAATTCAAATTAAAGCCTCAAATATTAGCAAGGAAAAAAACACACCTCCAACTCTAGAAAACTGAACAGAATATTCACTGGCTTTCTAAACAAGGCTGTAAAATATTTGTTGGTTCAGGAAAGAATATATTGGCACAAATTGTACTTTTGTTCACTTGAAATGAAAATCCTGAACATTTTGCAAATAATTTCATTTTCACATAACATTCAGAAGTTGTCCATAAGACATATTAGAAGCTGCAGTTTACTTGTTGATATTTCTACTAAAAAGAACCTGTCAACATGCTGTTTTCCCCTTTTTTCTATTTTGTATAAACTTCATGCATGACTACATATTGAAACAATCAGAATATGTGGTGTGCATGTGTGTAGAAAAATTAATATGCTGAAACTTTCTGCAGTGTCTGTGTCTGATCTTCATTATTCCAATGCTGGTAACTGGGCTAATTATTTTCACAAATATCACTTCCAACATCTGCACTTGAATTTTGAAAGTACACATCAAAGTCCTATGGAACTAAGATACTTGTGGAAGTATGACAAAGTAAAATATTCTTAAGTACAAAACAGCTTCTCAACATTTTCTTGGATCCTTCGGTTAGACACTATAATTGCTTACCCAACATCTGGGAAGAGAACAGGATAAGAAAACAAAAATAAATTAATTTACACAGCTGAAAAGTCAATATTAAGACAAATGACAGCCAAGCTTTCCAATTGAAGTTAACCAAACTCAAAATACCAAATCTTATTTCTGAAAACGTTTATAAAGCTATTTTATCCATTTGTACTTCAACACATTTAAATTTCTGTGACTTTTTAAAGTATCTAGTGAATTCACATTAATTATTGCTTCTGTTTAGGATTTTTTTGCATTTATACCATTCTCCAACATGAAAAATAAGTCAACATAATAAAGTATCCATACAGCTCTATATTATCAAGATTTCAAAACATATGACTAAATTATATAATTACTTTGGCCGGCATCTCTCCAGAACAAATTGATTTGTTATCTCTTTTTCAATACAGATCTTTTTTTAAAAAAAAATATCCACACTGAACATATACACCAAGCCTTATGAAAAAAATTTCCTTTAAATCACATTAACCAATACTGACATTTAGTTTTCACCTGTTATCACATCACAAAATTGCATCCAGGAAGGATCAGTTTCAGATTTCACATTTACGTAATGAAAAAATGCAGTCAATGCATACCTTAAGACCATTCACGATTTAAAAAAAAACAAACAAATACACACCAATACCGGAACTTTACGAAATGACACTCGTTATCAGTCCGAAAAGATCAAAAAATAGCATAGCGTTTTTAGATTAAGCCAAGTATCACTACGAATATGCGCAAGAGAGCAATTTTATTCGACTCCAACCCAGAAAGAAGCAGACGTATTGTAGTAGCTGTGATCGTTGCAGCGTTTTCCGCAGCCAAGGTCATCTTGGCTTAAAATCCAAAACAGCCTCATTTCGCTTCCCTCTCTTTTAACAAGGGGGCTTGTACTTTTCCTTGGCTGGGCCACCAGCGACATCAAATTAGGCCCGAGGAGACCCTGGAGAAGCCTGGCTTCACGCAGCCAATTTACGGTAACAGCACTAATACTCACCTACCCCACAAGAAACGGGGTTACAAAACGACGACCCCCATAGGCAAATCTTCACTGCCCGGAGCCAGCTCCGCCATTCATAGAAACAACACAAACCTGCGCGCCAAGACTAATATACCATGGGGAAGTTACACATCCTCCGAACAAATCGTACCGAGAACCCCGCATTATGGATCTAAAGGCAACGAGGCTCTGAAATTTCCCTCAGGCCTAATTCCCGCCCTCTCCGAGCCGCCGCCTTTGTGCAGCCGCAGTGAAAGAGAGCCATGTTTCGCTTGCAGCCGGGGTGGGCAAGCCCGGTCTCCCTCCCGCTCCTCAGCGAGGCAGGAGAGTTCCATGTTCTTACCGAGGAGCCTGTACGGGAAAAAAGGGTTAGAGTGAAACCAACTCGCCGCCGAGCGCGGCGCCAGCCACGGAGCAGCGCCACAAAATGGCTGCCCGACCGCACCGCCTTCCTGCCCGTCCCCTGTGGGGAGAGAGAGGGAAGGAGGGTCTATAATGGGCGGCACCCCAAGCAAACCAAGGTGATGCGATTAGACTTTTCGGGAAAATTAAAGGCACCGAGGCGTCGCGCTAAAAGCGCCTCCTCAAAAACCCTGTTTTCTGCTGAAGTGGTGCAAAGCTGCTAAGTGCTCTAAAAATTAATATTTCTTTTGCGCCGAGCGCTTCGGTTACTAACCTTCACGAAAGGCACGAAGCACCATTTTGCACAGTACCGGTAATTATCCTGTGAACATTAGAACCAAGGGGCATAAAATGCAACACTTAACAGGTACCAGTAGGTCTTCTCCCAGCGATATCGACCCCCTCCCCCGTTTTACACACAGACGCATTCAGCTTTCACCTAAAGCATGACTCGTTTCATCACGGTCGATTGAATGATCCACAATTGCCTCCACGTTGTGCTCCAGTAAAGTAGTGTGGGAAGTCAGCCCCCACCAGAGGCAGAAAAGCATGCCCAGTTTTTCTTAATAGCTCCAAGTCTCCCTCCCGCAAGCAGTAATGCAGATGTAAATAATCCAGGAAGGTTGGAGGCCCCCAGCTAGAACCTTAAGACAAAGACACCTAAAATCTACATACCCCACCTAAACTCTTAAGACAGGACATAATAGGATTAACTCACAGATGCCAAAGGGCACACTCAGACTCAGGTCAAAGTTCACGCCACAGGAACAGCTTCAAACAAAAGGCTCCGGAGAGTATTAAAACTCACTCCCTACATGTGCTCTCTCTGTCTTTTCTTCTAGAGCCAGCTTTCTGTCTGGCTCTTCTCCAATGATCTGCAACCTTCTTTCTAAAGCAGTTACCATGTTGTTTATTCCCGGCTTGGACTGAACCATGATGAAGACTTTTCCTTCAACAGTAGTAAGCTACCTGTTTCAAACTAGTGGAGGAATTCACGCTACTCCAAAAGCAAACTAATTGCACCAGGTGAAAATAAAATCCTCCTCCCTCAGTCCAGCTTGACTCTTTGCCAAGCAAATGAACGCATACATGATGTTTTTTTCATAAGAAAAAAAATCCTTTGCAGGTGCTTTCCTGAGAATGATTTTGTGACTGAGTGCCCCGTCCATTTTCAGTTCTGAAATCTAGGGCCAATCTCTCAGCCCAGTAACGGTGCCATCTTTTTTAGCTTTTTGGATCAGCCAAGCTTGGTTGGGTGCTGCCTTCTGTTGCCTTCAGATCACCTTCTGGATTTGTGCATTTCATGGATCCAGTGGTATTCCCCAATGGTTTGTTCATTTGGATATAAACCCCCTTTACATGATAACAGTAATATATAATTACACATCATACACAAATGTTATTTTCTAATAAGATGGGTATTAGACTCTGAACAGTTAGGTAATTTTTGCATTCCGTGTCAGTGTATTAATTTTATTTTTTAATAATCCCAGGCAGCTCACATTAATTGGAACAATCCTTATTTTCTTAAATCCTTTTTTAATTCCAAAAATCCTTAGGGGTTTTACTTTTGGATTTTTTGGGGGGGTCTGATACATATATGGTTGAACTTGTTAATATTGCTTTTTATGCAATTCCACCAGTAGATAGGGCTAAATCTTTGGGCTTTATTGCAAGTGTTGTATTTATGCTGAGTCCACAAATTCTAAGGATTAAAATATAAAAAAGTTAAAACTTGCAAAACTAATGATATTTGACAAGCTCCAGGACAGTACACATTTTTTAAATAGAAATTTCCAGATTTTAGAAACCATATGCACTTCATTCACATGGCCTTCTACCTTAAAACCTTAAAGTTGTTGGAAAGATAAGTCTACAATTACAGAAAGCTTGGAATGAAACAATTTGAATTTTTCAATCAGGATTCAGGGTTGACTATAGGACAGAACTACATAAATTGCTGTGGCTCAGTAGTTAAAGACACCGAGCTTCTCAGATGGAAAACTGACAGCCCTTTGAGATCCCAGTGCTGCACAAGGGGGTGAGCTCCTGTTATTTAACCCAGCTCCTGCCCATCTAGCAATTCAAAGTATGCAAATGCAAGTAGATAAATAAGTACGACTACAGTGGGAAGGTAAGTGTTCTGTGTACCTTGGTGTATAGTCATGCTGTCACATGATCATGGAAATATCTTCAGACAGCATTGGTTTCCTCGGCTAAGGAGATCAGCACCGCCCCTTAGAGTCAAACATGACTGGACAGAGGAACTCTTTATCTTTACATTAGTTGCTGTTAATGGATGACCTGTAATAAGGTCTGGAATAAAGGAGATGCTGACTGTCCTGATCTTGCTGTCTTCAATTCCATCAAATGTGAGAGGGACCTCGGAGTCCTAGTAGACAATCACCTAAATATGAGCCAGCAGTGTGCTGCAGCTGCCAAAAAGGCCAACACGGTGCTAAGCTGCATTAACAGAGGGATAGAATCAAGATCACGTGAAGTATTAATACCACTCTACAATGCCTTGGTAAGGCCACACTTGGAATACTGCATCCAGTTTTGGTCACCACGATGTAAAAAAGATGTTGAGACTCTAGAAAGAGTACAGAGAAGAGCAACAAAGATGATTAGGGGACTGGAGGCTAAAACATATAAGGAACGGTTGCGAGAATTGGGTATGTCTAGTTTAACGAAGAGAAGGACAAGGGGGGACATGATAGCAGTATTCCAATATCTCAGGGGCTGCCATAAAGAAGAGGGAATTAAGCTATTTTCCAAAGCACCTGAAGGCAGGACACGAAGCAACGGGTGGAAACTAATCAAGGAGAGAAGCAACCTAGAACTAAGGAGAAACTTCCTGACAGTGAGAACAATTAATCAGTGGAACAGCTTGCCTCCAGAAGCAGTAAATGCTCCAACACTGGAAGTTTTTAAGAAGAGACTGGACAGCCATTTGTCCGAAATGGTGTAGGGTTTCCTGCCTGAGCAGGGGGTTGGACTAGATGACCTCCAAGGTCCCTTCCAACTTTACTACTATTACTAATGTGTTAACTGGGCTGGAGATGGGATATGCTGTTGCCCACTGGAAATCCTTTCTGAAGAGCTGATTTCTGTGCTAATGATCAAACCCTTGGGCCTTCCGCCTCTATTATTTAACATCTACATGAAGCTATTGGGAGAGATCATCCAATAGTATGGGATAAAATATCATCAATATGTACCCTGCTAGCATGTCAGTCCTTTGAGATAGAGACCAGACTAGAAAATTAAAGTTATGAAAACTAATACTACTTATTATGGAGTTATAGTAACAGAATCTTTCAAGTTTGAAAGTGCCTTTCCCCTCCCTGCCTTTAACTATAACAGAACTAGGCAGAGTCAAGTCAGATATTTCCTCAAATTACATTTGTTTGGCCTCAGATTTATTTTATTTTATTGTCTTAGTTGTAGCCCTTTGCTCCTCAAAATTATTCTCACATCCCATTACATCTGGCCAAGCAGCAGATGTGGATTAAGATATAACTCAGTGCCTGGAGGCAGTTATATTACTAGGAGTATAATCTTGTTTATATGTGTTATACAACACAAGATGTAAGGCATTATAGACTTCTAAAGAAAACTAGATCTTTATGTAATGTACCCAAAATACAATTTGAGGCTTGAGTGAGAATTTTGGGTTTTGTTTTTGTGATCCATTTGTTTATTTTCTTGGCTATTGTATTTTTACAAGTTTCCAACACCAAAATTCAAAAACAGCAATACTTTCTATCGTGCTTCTTCAAAGCCAAGATGTCTCTTCCACAGAGCATCACAAGAAAAGTACTGCCTGCAGTGCTAATCTTTGTAGATACAGGTATGTCATAACATCTGAACGTTTTTTTCAAGGCTCTCATAGATATCCTATGTATTAATACAAAGTGTATTTTGTTATATGCTGCTTCCTTTAGTGATGATCCTAAAAAGAAGAAATTGTCAACACTTTGGTATTTTTGTCTTCATTTAATCTTATATCCTTTTTTTCTCTGTGCTTCCTAAGTTCATTAGACCTTACAAATGCTGGTTATTTACATTGTTCCATCAATTTTAAATGTGCACCTTCTTCTAATAATCAATCCTATCTCAATATGTATTCAGCATGCAGATTGAATTAATGAGATAGTCTCACTGTTTTGTCATTATGAAGCCAGTCTGTTTTGCCATATTTCATCCAGACTGCAGCTTCCTATTCTGGGTATAGATCTCACAAGAGGACAATGATCTATTTTGGAATTCTCATTTTCCTAATGATGATCTATAGCTTGAAATGGTCAATACAATCAAAGGCCTTGTCTTTTTTCTCTATTCTTTGGTTTTCTCAATTGTCTAGCATGCATCTGCAATAATGAGTCTTGTCCCTCAACATTTGCAAAACCCATCTTGAACATTTGGCATCTCTACCATGTAGTCCTCTAATCTGCATTGGGTGATTCCATCTATTGTTTTCCTAGGGTATGAAATTAAGAATACTTTGAATACTTCATTAAATATTTTTTGGGTATTGGTATGTAGATTGACTTCTTCAGTCTGTGGGTCACTGTGTCTTTCTCCAGATTTGGTATATAATTTGGTTGGAATCTTTTTCTGATTCTTCTCCTCTTTCTTGCCATATTTCTATAGAGTCCATCAAATTCTGTGGTCTTTTAAATTTGTGAATAGTATATTAATCTAATTTCATATCCTAACACCAAAGGTCCTTGTATATAAGCAATATCTTCTAAGATTTTTTTTAGATATCGATTTTTCTACTGTACAAAATTACATTATTATTTCCATCTTTATTTGATCTTTAAATCAGTTATTATCTCTTCATTAGTGTCCTTCAACATACCAATTCGAGGTTAGCACCTCCTCTTGAGAACTTAGCAATGAAGGAATAATTCAATTAGCAGAAACTGATAAGTTATTTTTCTGCTTCATTTTTGTTTGCTAGGCCATACGGTCCAATTGCTTTTCTTCCCTACTATTTCATCTTTGACATTCTGATTTCCAACCATAAGCAATACATCATATTTGTTCAATTTATTTCAGATAGAACATGACCATAAAACTAATCCACTATTTCTTCTTTTTTTCCCTGTCTGTCACAACATGGATGTAATAACTTGAATGGCACCATAAAAATATCCTGGAATCCAATCAGGATGACTGCTATCCATGTAGATAGAATATTTCAGCTTCCAGAGATAGTGTGGAGCAGCATTATTGGAGGAAAAATAATAGAAGATTCAGTGTAAGGCAAATAGAATCTCAGAACGTGAGAGGTACTAGCCTTATCAGTTTGCCAAGCAAAAAGGAACAAATATTTTTTAATGAATATGGGAAAACAAAAGCAGCAATTTCCAAACAAATTTGTTCTTTTAACCCAGCATCCTCTTATATTACTTTTAAAAATCAACATGTTGACTGCATGAATTCCTCCTCCTCCTTCTCTTCCATGGTGACTAACTTTCGTTTGTTTTGTTGGAAGTGTCCATGTTTGGCACTGGTAACATAGAGTGAGGATGAATATGCTTTGTATGAGATGTTTCTTTGTGTTGATCAGTACTGCCTTATATTGTAGGACCGGAGCAAGCTGTCCTAATACTTGGTTTGCCTTACTGCATCCTATGTTAATCTTTTTGTCCATTTTACCATCTTCAGTGAATGTTGTTCCTAGATATTTGAACTTTGATACATGTTTTATGCTTGTTCCTTCTATTACTATGTTTAGGATATGCTTTTTTCTTCCAACTGCCATTACTTCTGTTTTCTCTTTGCTGATTCTTGTATTATTTGTCTGGCATTCTTGGTTCATGGCCATAAGATGTTGTTGCAATTTCTTAGATGTACTTGCTATCAATGCCTAATTGTCTGCAGAGTAGTTTGTTGATATTATTTCCATTCTTGGGTTTGTCTTCTTTGCTTATGCTGTCAATGTAGGTGATAAACAATAGTAGTGATAGTACACATACCTGTTTTACTCCTGATATGAAGGGTTCTGATGTTCCTTGATTTGTTCTGACTACAGTTCTACAATCATTATATAAGCTTTTGCATTCTCCATATTGGGTCAGTGTTTGCCATAACAGTTTCCTATGAACTCTACCAAATGTTTTTTCTTGGTCTACAAATGCAACAAAGAAATTCTTATTATATTCCATATTTTTTCTATTAGTTGTTTAAGCACAAAAATTGCATCTGCAATTATGAAATACATAACTGTATGAAATACATAACATTAATTCTTTCACTTTCACTTGAATTTTATATAGGAAAATCCACCAATAGATTTACTTAGTTTAGCATGCTCACTGCTATATAACAAACACTAGTGCGTAAGCATAAAATGTAGGATTTAGTAAGGTAAACTTTCTATAAGAAACATTATTCCTGAATTTATGTTTCTGAAAAGTAATATGTTGATAAAATCCATTCAGAATAGCCTCATGATGCTTACAGAAGAAACAAAATCAACCATTTTTCCACAATGATACGATTCTGAAGTCTCATTATACCAAGCTGCAACAAAATCACCTAAAAATAAAAGTACTGCAATTTCTTTGGTGTCAGCATATTTTATGTCCATGTATACTTCTTTATGTGAAAGTTAATGCACAAAACAAAACTCTCCCTTAGAATCAGTTTTCAGGTTCTGTATTTAAAAAGAGCCTCTCACTGGTTACCCACGGATTGCACACTTGAAACTATATACTTTTTCTCAGGAATGTACAGAAACATTTAATCTACAACCATGCAGTCTGATATATACGTATTTTAATGCTGTGTCCATTTAATGCTTTTCAAATCAATTCCATCCTGTACCATCTCCCACAGTGGGCTGTAAAATAAGAAGAAAAATTAAATTTCAGTTCCTCAGAACTATAAATTATATTTGTTATAAGACAAATAATACTTTTTTTTTACAGACAGCTACTGACAGATACAGCAAAGATACCTGTGATGCATCCAAAACATTGTTACTCATGTTAGATCTGAATACAACATATAACTTATAATACTATCAATATAATTCTAATGACAAAGCATACACACAGGCCCTAGGTAACAGCCATTTAAATTAGCTATATAGATCTGATAATTTCACAGCAGACACAACTGAAGGAGATAACAAATAATCTAATTCTCTTCATAATCTTTATCTATATTTAATTTTAAACAAATAAAAATGCTATTTTTAATAAAAAATATTTACCTCATTTCTCTTAATCTTTTCACATGTTGTATGCATTTATTTACAGTATAATCTACTTCTTCTTCAGTAGTAAAACGTCCAATTCCAAATCTGAAATAAAGTAAAGTAAAATACAAATCAAGCCCAAAACATATATACAAAGATGACATGCAATTTTCCTTTTATCAAAATAACTCTTACCTTATGGATGAGTGAGCCAAGTCTTCATCTGTTCCAATTGCACGCAATACGTATGACGGTTCCAAAGATGCAGATGTACAAGCACTAACAAGAAAATAATATGATACTTGTTTTAATGCAAAGCAAGAGTAGGCATGAAAGCAGCAGGTTACAGTTCGGTATACTCTGAATATACCTTCTTTTAATAAATAAAAAACCTTCTTTTAATCACTTTGGAAACCTGGTTCTAATGAAAGTGGCATGTTTCTCTGAAAAGAGGATTTATTTTGCAAAATCAATGAAGGAATGGAGAAGGAAGAAAAAAGAAAAGAAAAAAGAGCCAAATATAAGACAATATAGTCAAGAGGATTACACGTGAACTGGATCATTGGAAGTATCTCATGAATTCATAGGCACATTCAAATTATTAAAATAATTGAGAAGAGAAAAGATTAAACAAAAAGAATTAGCTGATGGTTTCCATTCTCAATAGTAAAACCTCATTGCTAGTTTCTCCAGTTTAGCACATATCTACAGTTTTTAAAAAGGAACCTGAAATCTTAACAGCATTTTTTAAGTGAAATGAGTGGAAGCCAGTCAATGCAATTCATAATTAAGAAGACGATTCTGAACAGAATGAATACAGATGCAGCCTAGATTTTTAGGTTATATGCCTCTTTTATTCTGATTTTCTTTCAAAATTCCAGTTTCTTTGGAAATTCCAAGCAGTCTTTTCTCTAGAAACAGATTAAGCTGAATCATGTGCCATTTTGCATATAAAGTTATACCTTCCAGAAGAGAGTGCCACATCTTTCAGGGCCATCAGCAAGCTTTCCCCTTCCACATACGCAAATGATAAATTGATGCAGCCTGCATTGTTAACAGAGCAAGGTCAGATTATTTAATAATCTTAAACTTCCAGTATTTAGAACTGTTCTTCTTTACAGGAATTTTATTTTTTATGTCTTCTGAAGTGCCATACAGCAGCTATGAAAATTAATGTGGTTATATACTCAAGCAATCTGTTATGCTGCAGCTGTCATTATAAGACCCTCAGAGTCAGTCAGTTATGAAGATGGCACAGAAAAAAGAAACAAGATTTTCCTTGACTATAAGGAACTGGAGTTATTCTAGCACCCTATTTAAAAGTAATTTTTGGAGATATAAAACATAATTAAAACGATGTGCAATCCATAAGTCATTGGACATTACAGAGCAACAGCTAGCTAGTATTAAAGGAGATATCACTACAGAATTGTTTCAATATCAAATATCCCACAAATTACCACTTGGAGTTATTTAATTCTAATTTCTAATTATATATAAAGTCAACACCTGAATAATGACAAAGGTCAACATTCTGCTAATGATACCTGGATAACGATGCACTGGGTCTCCATTCATTACAACATCAGGAACTTCTGACATTATTTTTGTGATTAGCCTATCAGCTAATGAGCTAATTCGTTTATGGTCATACTAGAAAAGAAACAAAAACTAATTAATTTATCACAATGGATTTGAACTTTGACCAGTTTACTCTAATTGCCTCAATCATTTCTAATTTTATTATTAAACAGGAGTAGAAAACAGAACACACCGACTCCATCAAAACTTAGAAATAATAACACACACATTTCTTCATCCAAATTCATACACATTAACCATAAAAGTTTTGTTATTATGGTAATATTACTTTAGTATACTCCTGGCTAAATGACAATAATTGGGATTGGAATTTCTTTCACTAAGCAATTCAGTTATAAAGCATGAAGTATGTCACTGCATCACATAGTGACAACAATTCTCAGTTGCTATTGTTAAACAAGGATTATGTGTCATTATTTCTTTCTTTATTAAATGTATATACTCCCCAGAGTTGCTTGATAGTAAGATGGGCAGCATATAAACAATCAAACAATCAATTAAATATTTCACATGACCGCAAATTGTGACTTTCTGCTGGCTTCCAACATGAAAAGGCAATGGAAAAGCTGACAAAAAGTTGCAGGTCCCAGTCACAAGCCATTCCTTAGGTGGTTCGCAAGCAGACCAATGGATGGGTGGGTAAGTTCTACGGAGTATGGATAGGCAGGTAGATGTTGTAGCCTGGCACAATTGTGGCTGGGCAGGGATGTGCATGCTATAGAGTGTGGGTAAGTACACAGGTGGGTGCTATGGCCCAGCATTAACCCCACTGGGTGGGGGATAAGCAATGGAATGCAAGCAAGGGCAGGAAATCTCATATTCCAAAGTGGGAATCCTTGAGAAAATGTGATAGGAGTGGGAGCAAATTACAATATTATCTGCCAGTTTCCCCCTTGACGTTATGGGATGCTGCAGTTGTTGTAAGGGCTAGTCAATTATCAAGCATCCAAATCGTGATCATGTGACCACAGGGTTGCCACACTGGCCACAACTTCAAGGACTGGTTGTAAGTACCACTCGTTCAGCAGTGTCATAACTTTCAATGGTCGCTGACTGATTGGTTGTTAATTGAGGACTACCTGTATGCCATTTGCTTCTGCATAATAAAGACTACCCAAAGGGCAATGTAAATATACATGTTGATTTATTTAGAGTTGCTATGTAAACAAAACAGAGACACTTATAAAAAAAGGAAAAAGGAAAAAGAAAAAATCCAATAGAATTTGCCTCAATACTGGTGATCACAAAACCTGCCAAACCTCTTTTCTTACCAGTACCAAGACTGAGACTCGTAAGAAAAGGCCTGTGAACTAGGGGTCACAAGACATATAATAGATACATTAAACAAATTAAGACAGTTCAACAAATAATTGAATTTTAGTTATTATTAAAACAAATTGCACTGCAATTTTTTTTGAAAAAACGTTAAGAATGAAAAATAATCAAAATAATTCAATAGGTAAAAGACATATTAAATCCAATTCTAGATCACTACATGCTGGTATCAATATTGTAGACATTCAATTTAAATCATCATGCTAAGAATATGTCAAAAACAGAAACAGAAATATGCTGTGGGTAGATTACACAGGTAGTCTTCAACATACGGCCATAGTGGAACTTGCCCATTATGATTGTATGTCATGATGGTCATAAAATGGGTCAGTCACAAGACTGGCCTGAGTTTACAATTTTTTTGCAGCAGTCATTAAGTGAATGTGACAATCATAAGTGTGAACCCATTGCTTGCTATGGACACAGTTTTGCTGAAAGCCAGAAGTACCAGGCTATGCTGCAAATAGCTGTAAATGAAGCCATGTTGCTGAGTGCCCAAAGTGTCGTCATGTGATCATGGTGGGCAGACCGTTGGAATGTTGGATATGGGTCATAAGTCCTTTTCTTTGGGCAGGTTGTAACTTCAAATGGTAAGTAAGTGACTAGTTGTAAGTTGAGGACTATCTGTACAGAGAAATTGAATCACATTTTTTACCTCCATTTCTTGCTGTGCCAATTCACAAGCTGCCCCAAGGCCAACTACTAATGGAGTTGGCACAGTTCCAGAACGTAATCCTCGCTCTTGACCTCCTCCACTCTGTATAGGTTCCACTCTTACTCTTGGTCGCCGCCGGACATAAATTGCACCAACCCCTTAAACACACAAATATTTTTTTTCAGTTCAATATATTTCAGAGGCTTATAAATGCGCAAAATATAATTTTTAATCAGGATTCTTAATTTTACTTAGCAATTCCATTTCTAACTAGCAGACTTTTTTCTACGCATAGTGTCAGAAATCTAAAATTCAAGTGTATTACTCCATCAATCCACGCGAAATCAAAGGCTGATGTGCTTATAATTCTGTGATTGGAAAGAAAAGAAAAAAAAAGGAAAAGAAAAAAAGGATTGGAAAAAGAAAAGCCGAGGTGGCGCAGCAGTTAGAGTGCAGTACTGCAGGCCACTTTAGCTGACTGTGTTCAGCAGGTCAGCGGTTCAAATCTCACCGGCTCAAGGTTGACTCAGCCTTCCATCCTTCTGGGGTAGGTAAAATGAGGATATATACATTGCTTACTGGTGTACACCGCTTAGAGAGTGCTTGCACTTAAAGCGGTATATAAGTCTCATAAATAAATAAATAAATATCTGATATAATATATGTGAATAGGCAGACTAACACAACTTCTGAATTCAAACTGTTACCCCGATTTAGAAAGCTTCATTCTCCTAATACAGTCCTTGACTTACAACCACAATTGAGCCTACAATGTCTGTTGCTAAGGGAAATATTTAAGTGAATTTTGCCCAATTTTACAACCTTTCCTACCACCGTTGTTAAGTGAATCACTGCAATAATTAAGTTAGTAACCTAGTTGTTAAGTGAATCTGGCTTCCCCATTGACTTTGCTTGTCAGAAGGTCGCAAAAGGTGATCACATGACTGTGAGACACTGCAACTGTCATAAATATCAGTTAGTTGCCAAGCATTTGAATTTTGATCATGTGACCACGGGAATGGAATAGAATAGAATAGACCTTGGAGGTCTTCTAGTCCAACCCCCTGCTTAGGCAGAAAACCCTATACCATTCAGGGATGCTGCAATGGTCGTGAGAAAAACGGTCATGTCACTTTTTTTAATGCCATTGTAACTTTGAACAGTCACTAAATCAGTGGTTCTCAACCTGTGGGTCGGGACCCCATTTGGGATCGAACGACCATTTCACGGGGGTCACCAAACAACGCAGTCCGCCATTTTTCCCCCCTTTTCCTTAGTTATGCTACTCCCTTTTATTCTATTGGCTTTTGAAAACCAATAGGAATTGTCCAGGCTGTCTCTGCCCTGCTGAGCCCACCAAAAGTCCCATTCTGCAATCGGTGCTGCACCATTTGAGTAGTCCTCGACTTACGACCGGTTGGGGGTCGCGGCATTAAAAAGGTTGAGAACCACTGCACTAAATGAACTGCTATCAGTTGAGGACTACTTGTATAACAAAACCATAATGCAGAAAATCAAGCTATGCTTGTTGCAGAAATATTGTACTGCTTAGAAGAAATTCAGTTACATTCAAATGCAAATTGGACTTCTAACAAACTGACTTTACTGTATAATCACTTCACACTGAATTTCATGGCTACAAATCAGTGGGGGAAATTAACACCTAAAATTACAGAGGAGACAAAGAATCTTTAGAAGTTTCAATTTAATTACCATAGGGACAGGTTATGTTTATAACGTGGCAATCTGTTTCAATTATTTAAACATTCTTCTTTCTCTGTTTCCTTTAAGCTTTCAGTCATTGCTAAATACTAAGGCATTGATGCACCCAAAAGAGCTGAAAATCAAAATACTTCCTAGATTATGCAGAATAATTGGATCAATGCTATCTTAAAATAAATAATGCTTCCACATAATTTTAAAATATTTACATACTTTTCCTGCATAAAAAGCTTAAGAATTATAACAAAGAAAATCCTATAATTCAATTAAAATAATGCCTCAATATGTGATTGTCTTTTTCAAAAGAAGTCTTTAAATATTTCTAAAAAAGTAAATAAAGAATAATAAGCTCTTACTTCAGTATTAATCACTCCATAATCTTAGGGAAACTACAATGAAGTACAGTTCAGCAATTAAAACATTAATACAATAATGACTCTTTCTTGCTTAAATACAGTGACCCACAAAATATTAATACCTTTGGGTCCATAAATTTTATGGCCACTTATGCTCATTAAATCAATTTTCATATCACTGACATCCAGAGGGATTTTTCCAACTGCCTGTGCAGCATCTGTATGAAAAAATACTTTATTGGAACTGCAAATATCACCTGGAATTAAAAAAAAAAAAGACACCACAGTATAGTTATTTCTGTCATCATAAAATAAGTATTTTAAGTATACAAACTAATATTTTATCTTCAAAGGATAATTTTGAGGATTAATCAAAATAATTGTTTTTTCCTCATGTATAACTCCTTGATTCAGATTTATAACAAGTGTTTGTCTCTAATATAGAGAGGTAGGCAGCTCATTAACTAATTCACTTTCTTCAATGTTGTGTTTAGTATCTCCCCTGGAAGCTAATGAGAAGCTCTAAAAGAAAGGCTACCAAAAAAGAAAATAAAGAAATATCCCCTGGTTGTTTCTAAGTTAACTTCTCCTACCTAGAGTTCATAAACCTCAAATTCTTTCTTGTATTATATAGAGAAGTCAGCCACTAAACTAGACAGTAAGGCTATAGACAAATTTTACTTATTGGCAGAATTCATGACGGAAGCTGGAGGCAATAAACTGATACAGTTTAATGGTCAACTTGTCACCATTCATTGAGCAACCATTCAAAGTTACAATGGTGGTTATGATCGATCCGCAGAGTTTCAGCCATTCCAGCATTCCCACAGACACGATTGTGATATGGACGCTTGGCAACTAGCTTGTACTTATGACCAGTTGCAGGGTCCTGCTATCATGTAATAATAATAATAATAATAATAATAATAATAATAATAATAATAATAATAATAATAATAATAGTAATAATAAAGTTGGAAGGGACCTTGTAGGTCATCAAGTCAAACTCCCTGCTCAGGCAGGTAACCCTATACCATTTTGGACAAATGGCTGTCCAGTTTCTTCTTAAAAACTTCCAGTGTTGGAGTATTCACCGCTTCTGGAGGCAGGTTGTTCCACTGGTTAATTGTTCTAACTGCCAGGAAGTTTCTCCTTAGTTCTACGTTGCTTCTCTCTTTGGTTAGTTTCCATCCACTGCTTCTTGTCCTGCCTTCAGGCGCTTTGGAAAATAGCTTGACTCCCTCTTCTTTGTGGCAGCCCATGAGATATTGGAACACTGCTATCATGTCCCCCCTCGTCCTTCTCTTCGTTAAACTAGACATACCCAATTCCAGCAACTGTTCCTTATATGTTTTAGCGCCCAGTCCCCTAATCATCTTTGTTGCTCTTCTCTGTACTCTTTCTAGAGTCTCAACATCTTTTTTACATTGTGGTGACCAAAACTGGATGCAGTATTCCAAGTGTGGCCTTACCAAGGCAGTGTAAAATGGTATTAATACTTCACGTGATCTTGATTCTATTCCTCTGTTAATGCAGCCTAGCACTGGATTGGCTTTTTTGGCAGCTGCAGCACACTGCTGGCTCATATTTAAATGACTGTCCACTAGGACTCCGAGATCCCTCTCACAGTTACTACTATTGAGCAAGGTACCCCCTATACTATATCTGTACAATTGGTTTTTATTGCCTAAATGTAGAACCTTACGTTTTTCACCATTGAATTTCATTTTGTTAGATAGCATCCAGTGTTCAAGTCTGTTCAGATCTTCCTGTATCCTAAGCCTGTCTTCTGGAGTGTTGGCTATTCCTGCCAACTTGGTGTTGTCTGCAAATTTGATGAGTTCCCCATCTATCCCCTCGTCCAAATCTTTGATGAAGATGTTGAAGAGCACTGGGCCCAGAACAGAGCCCTGGGGCACCCCACTACATAATGTGATGCCCATTTGCAACCTTTCCCTCTCTATGGAGAAAGTCATTTCCAGAAAGTAAATGGGGAAGCCAGGCAGATCGCAAGTTGTTAGGGTAAATCTCCCCCACCATGCCACTCACTTAACTCCTCTGCGCTTGTACTGTGCAAGCCACTTGCATACTCCTGTGCATCCTTCACGAGCCTCTTTGTGCCTTCTTCAAACCTCATGCATCCCCGTGCACTCTCTGCAACTCTTGTTGCATCTCCCTTGCATCCTCCCCAATCCTCACTGCATTTCCCTTGCACCTTTATGTATCTTCCCCAAGCCTTGCCAAGCCTCCCCTATCTCCTTCCCTACCAGCAGTACCCACTTACTTGCCAGTCAGCAAGCTGCCTAAACTTGCTATTTCCTGCCTGTTTCCCTGCTGACTTTGTTGTGAGAAGTTGGCCAGAAGCTGCCTTAGCTAATGGCCATGGGATTAACTAGGGCTGCATGGATTGTTGTTGCTAAGTGATGTGGTCATGCTTCGTGACTGCATTATTTAAGGACAAAAATTCCAAGCCCTTTTGCTATTGTAAATCAATGACTACCTATATTGTGTCTGTACGTGTGTAATAAAACTGTGACTAGTCTTATCCAATTAATCCAGGTAAGCCGATATATGATTAGTCCTCCATTGTTTTACACAGGACATTATTTGGAACACAATCACAATTCATGTCTACGTACCTATATCTCTAATTGGTTGTTTCACTCCTATTTCATTATTCACAGTCATTATTGACACTAGGCTTGTATCAGGTTGTATTGCATTTTTCAGTTCCTGGTTAAAATCATAAAAGAGGAAAATAATTACATATATACAAACCAGTTCAAGTTCAAAAGGTGAAATATAATGGGCTGTAGGCTTAATTTTTCAGAGGTTTTACCAGTGTATTAGGAACAAAATGGAAAAGACCAATATATAGCAGAATTCAATATGTAGTTAAAGGTGTAGTGTAAAGGGGAAGGCTTTGGTTATATTAGTCACAAAGTCTGCAGCTGGTCCAATGAAAAAGTGTACAAAAGAGATGGTTTGTATCCATCAAAGAAAGGGACTGAGTTACTTGGCAATAAATTCACAGATTTTCTGGAAAAATATTTAAACTGAACAACGGGGACAGTGAGTTAATTGATACAGAGCATTCCTGTCCCGGCAATCTAAAAATTATAGAGTTATCAGTGCATGTAACATAGATGTGTGTGTGGATAAGAATATCAGCCTTGCTATCAAGCAAAATCAAGCTTTTAATAGTGAGTGTCACACAAAGTGCACTAATCAAACAGGTGCACCATACAGCTTATGTAGAAAGTAAACACAGGATCGGTCATATAAAGGACTCAAATGTCGATACACCAATGCACAGAGTATGAGCAATAAACGGTGAATTAGAAATTCAGGTAGATATGATATTGTTGCCATTATGGAAACTTGGTGGGTTAAAACCTACAAATGGAACACACAGCTACAGGGATTTAAATTATTTAAAAGAAACAGACCAAATAAAAGGAGGTGGAGTTGCTCTCTATATAAGAAATAACTACATCTCTACAGAAATAGAGCACAACAATGATGAAAACTGTCTTGAATGCATTTGGGTCAATATAAAAGGGGGGAAAATGACATAGGTGTATACTACAGGCCATCCAACCAAGCAGAGGAAATAGATGAATCTTTTGCTAGTCATTTAACTAAGGTAGGTAGGAAGCACATCACAATAGTAATGGGGGACTTTAATTACCCTGACATCAACTGGAAGACAAACTCTGCACCAAGTGGAAGATCAAACAGATTCCTGACAAACCTATCAGACAACTTTGTCTCCCAAAAAGTAGAGAAGGGAACTAGGGGATCAGCCATATTGGACTTAATTCTCACTAACAGAGATGAAATGATAGAAGGTATTGAAGTCACAGGAATCTTGGGAGGAAGTGATCATGGAATATTGGAATTCAACATTATGCAAGCACAAGCAATCTAGAGTCTTGCACTTTAAGAGAGCTAATTTCAATAAACTTAGAGAGAGCTTGGGAACGATTCCATGGATGAGAATCCTCAAGGGGAAAACAACTCAAGCTTGGCAAATTTTGAAAAGTGAGATTATAAAAGCCCAATTTAGCACAATACCAACTAAGAAGAAAAATAAGAGCTCTCAAAAGAAACCAGCATGGCTGCATAAAGAACTCTCTGATAAACTGAAAGACAAAAAGAACAAGTATAGAAAGTGGAAAGAGGGTCGCATAACTAAGTCAGAATATCAGCAAATAGCCCAAGTCTGCAAAGATGAAGTGAGGAAAGCTAAGGCTCAAAATGAACTAAGGCTTGCGACAAAAGTCAAAAATAACACAAAAAAGCTTCTTTCAACAAGTAAAAAACAAGAAAAAGTTTAAGGAAATGATTGGTCCATTAGTAGGAGAAAATGGCAAGAAGGTGACAAGCAACAGGGAGAAAGCAGAACTACTTAACTCGTTTTTTGTTTTTTGTTTTTTTGCATCTGTCTTTACACAAAGGGAAAAAACAGTCCAACCTATCAAAAACAGTCCTGTAAAAAACAGATTAGAAACAGAAATTAAGGTAGGCAAGAAAATGGTAAGTGAACACCTGTCCACCCTAGATGAGTTTAAATCACCAGGACCAAATGGATTATATCCCAAGGTTTTGAAGGAACTGGCAGATGTGATCTCAGAACCACTGAACTATATCTTTCAAAGATCCTGGAGCAGTGGGGAACTACCAGAGGACTGGAAAAGAGCTGATATAGTTTCCATCTTTAAAAAAGGAAAAAAAATGGATCCACGAAACTACAGACCTATCAGTCTGACCTCAATACGAATCAGCGAACACCTAGAGGCAAACAAAGTCATTACCAAAAGCCAACATGGGTTTGTCAAAAACAGACCATGTCAGACAAATCTTATTGCATTCTCTGACCAGGTGACAAAATTAGTGGACCAGAGGAATTTACTTGGACTTCAGTAAGGCATTTGATAAAGTAGATAACAACCTACTACTTTGTAAGATAGAAAAATGTGGGTTAGACAGCATCACCACCAGATGGATTGATAGCTGGCTGACTGGCCGTAAGCATGTGGTCCTCAATGGAACTGCATCTATATGGAGGGAAGTGTGTAATGGGCCCAGTGCTCTTCAGCATCTTTATCAATGATTTGGATGAGGGAATAGATGGGGAACTCATCAAATTTGCAGATGACACCAAGCTGGCAGGAACAGCCAACACTCCTTTAGATACAGGAAGATCTTGACAGACTTGAACATTGGGTGCAATCTAACAAAATGAAATTCAATGGTGAAAAAAGTAAAGTTCTATATTTAGACAAGAAAAACCAAATGCACAGGTACAGTATAGGTGGTACCTTGCTCAATAGTAGTTAACTGTGAGATGGATCTTGGAGTCCTAGTGGACAATCACTTAAATATGAGCCAGCAGTGTGCTGCAGCTGCCAAAAAAGCCAACACAGTGCTAGGCTGCATTAACAGAAGGATAGAATCAAGATCACGTGAAGTGTTAATACCACTTTACAATGCCTTGGTAAGGTCACACTTGGAATATGCATCCAGCTTTGGTCACCACGATGTAAAAAAGATGTTGAGACTCTAGAAAGAGTACAGAGAAGAGCAACAAAGATGATTAGGGGACTGGAGGCTAAAACATATAAGGAACGGCTGCTGGAATTGGGTATGTCTAGTTTAATGACATAGGGTGACATGATAGCAGTATTCCAATATCTCAGGGTTTGCCACAAAGAAGGAGTCAAACTATTCTGCAAAGCACCTGAAGGCAGGACAAGAAGCAACGGATGGAAACTAATCAAGGAAAGAAGCAACCTAGAACTAAGGAGAAACTTCCTGACAGTTAGAACAATTAACCAGTGGAACAACCTGCCTCCAGAAGCAGTGAATGCTCCAACACTGGAAGTTTTTAAGAAGAGCCTGGACAGCCATTTATCTGAAATGGTATAGGGTTTCCTGCCTGAACAGGGGGCTAGATTAGATGGATCTCCAAGGTCACTTCCACCACCACCACCACCACCACCATCATCATCAGAACTGACTACTAAAATGTTAAAATAGCTTATTCTAAGTTCATTCTATCAGTTCAAGTTTGATATAGCCTTGCATAGCCTTGGGCAATCCAAGGAAAACAAATTATGCATTGTATACATCTTATCTTTCTTATTTGTATTCTCAGACTAGAGAGACAGAGCTATCATTTTATGTCATGTCCTCATAATACAGGCCCCACGATTCCACCACTCCACAAGAGAGAAAGTAACTATAATGGTTGGTATACCTGATGAATCCCAATATAGACAAAATTAGTTATACATTGCCTCTGAGTGGTCAAGTAATGTCTAAAATCAAGGAAAACAAAGTATTTCTTCCCACATTGCAATATTCTACTGCTTGATAGACCTTTTGCATCCATGGATTTTGTTCAATTAGTTAACAACTATTTTAGAAGCATAACATACACTACATAGAATTATATTAAAAAAGATAAAAGATGGCTACAAATCTGTGTATTAATATATAAGACCACATATATCCCATCAAATCCTGATTACTTTAATTTTTAAAGCTGGAAAGAAATTGCATAAAAGATCTATGGACTTTATTTGCCTTTCATCAGGATACCTCTCTGAAAGCTGAACAAAATAGAGTAAATACTTGTATGTAGGAAATAGTAGACAAGATCTGAAAGGTTGGAGGCTTGGGGAAAAAAAAACACTCCAATATATTCTTATGGGAGAGGTATTTGTGCAGTGGCTCAGAAGGTTGGTGATTGCTATTCTAACCCCCTTCCCTCCTAGTCATAGGACTTAAAACAAAGCATATGTAACCTTCCCAATGCCTCCCAGTGTGCAAATACACAAATATAGAGACAACACAAGACAATAAAAATATACATACCGATACATTTGTTATACAAATAAAATATATATGCCTCCTAGGGCTACCTGGTAAGGATATGGAAACAAGTCAAGAAGCTATTTTCTTCAAGCTTTCCCTACTCTCTTTAAAATTATGGTGACTTTATAATTTCTATCTTTAAATGGAATCCCAGGTCAAAATTCTTGTTGAGGTTAAAAAAGCAGCAAGTTTTAACAAACAAACTAATAAATGTTATTTGATACAATCCTATGTATGCATATTCAATAGTTCCATTAAATTGAGTACTGTATGGTCTTAGTATTCTTAGAATTACACCTTAACAAGTAAACTATTACCATTTAATCAAACTACCTCAATGTGAGAACAACAAGCTTACTATATTTTACATTGCATTTATTAATGTATTTAGATCTACTGGAAATTATTAACAGTGTGAACATTAGTTCTAACCTTCTACCTTGCAAACATTTTGTTTGTTTTTATTGAGGAAATTCTCTCCAGCAACCTATACTAAGGCTAATGAGGACAGCAAAAAATTGAAAGAGCACTCTATTCTTCAGATGTACAAATATTTGAAAGTAAATCATTTACCTTTATATCTATAAGACCATTTTTCTTTACAGGCAAGTAGGTGACTCGAAAGCCCTCAGCTTCTAAGGCACGACAAGAATCTAGCACACATTTGTGCTCTGTTTGTGTTGTAATTATATGTTTCTTTCTGGATTTATAAAATCTTCCAACACCCTTTTAAATTGACACAAGAAAAAAACAAGATTTTGATCAAAAGTGATGACAAATGATAATTTTCATGAATATTAAATTAGAAATATAAAATTTTCATTTTCCTTAAGGCTTCAGGCAACTGTCACCAAAGATTTGAAATTGCCTATTCAGAAATAAATCCTATTAACATTAATAAGGTTTGTTTCCAATGAAAAATGCATCCTGCAGTTCTGCACATATATGGAAGTAATTACACTCAGTATAATTTCAAGTATAAAATTATGATTTTGGCTTTAATTTAGTCAAGCAGAATATTGGAGGAGAGCAAATGTTATCCTCATCTTCAACAAGGAAGATCACCAGGAAAATTACAGGTCTGTTAGCATGTATCTATATTGGGCAAGGTTTTTGAACAGATAATGAGTCTATGAATACTTGGAGAGGCAAACTATGATTAAGCCTCAGCATAGGTTTGTTACAAATAAATCATGCAGTTTAACTTCGATTCTTTTTTAACAGAAGTACGTGCTAAGTAAATCAGGGGAATGCCACAGACACAGTAAACCTGAACCTTAGTAAAGTCTTTGAAATAGTGCCTCATGATAATCCTTAACAAAATGGTAAAATACAGGCAAGATGATAATACTGTTAGATGAATTTGCAGTTAGTGCAATGATCACACCCAGAGAGTACTTATTAATGGAGTTCATTAATAGCTTCAATTCAGCCATTGAGTGTCTCTAGTGTCAATGATTTATCAATGATTTGGTTGAGAGAAGAGGAACTTATAAAGGGGAAACTTAAAAAGTTTGTAGATGAATCAAAGGAATGGGTAATAATTTAAATGAAAGAGAGAAGATTAAAAGAGGATACATATAGATCTGAGTAACGTGTGGAATTAAAAGGATGAAATTTAACAGGGAGATATGTAACACATTGTATCTGGGCAAGAAAAATATAAGGCACAAGTACAGGATGAGACTGGCTAGATAGTATATATATAAAGGGATGCTGGGTATTTTTGCTAACCATAAGTTAAACATCAGCTAGCATTAATAAAACAAATACTATGTTGGGATATATTAACAAGCTCACAGAATTCAGATGATAGAGAGTTATCTCTGATCATTCTGGGCCTCACAGTTCAAAAACGATAGTGACAAATTAAAACAAATTCATAGGAAGGATAGCAAGATGATGAAAGGCCTGGAAATGAAGCCATAGGAGGAATAGTTAAATGAATCACAGAATATTTCATCTACAGAAAAAACAACTTCCAGGCAAACTAAATATATCTTGGAAAGAGCAGAAACAACAATTGTGGCAAAACCTGAACTGGCAATTAGACCAGTTCTTTGGAACCTCTCCAGACAAGGAGAGGAGGGGAGATTGCCCACAGGTGCTCTGGAAGGCTGCTCCCTGTGATAAGATGCAGACAAGTGGTCTCCTGTGGATTAGAACTCTGGGAGATAAAGGCATCAGCTGCAGCTGAGTCTTTTGAACACTGAGTTTACTAACCTCAGTTTCTAATCACTTGTTTATTTACTATCCTAAGGCATAATGTGTATCTGAGACTATGATTTCAGAAATTGGACACTAGAGGGAACTAAAGACTTGAGGCAGAAAAGGAAAAAAAAGTGAAAAATTGCTTTCGGTTTTTAGTTATTACAGGAATTTATAAAATGACACAAAATGCTATAACAGTTCAAATACTAGAAGAAATTTTTGAATTAGTAGATATAATGTCAGCAACATCAACAATAAAGTATGCTTCCATTCCGAAAGATGAAGTTGTTGTTATAGACTTTGCTGAAAAAAGAAAAAAATATTTTTTAGACTTTTATCTCATCTTTTCTATATATATACAGTTCAAGCTAGAGTACCTATTTATTTACAGTCCAGAAAAAAAATATGGGTATGTCATTAGTTGCTATTGCTTTATTCAAATACATGTCTTCCTTAGAAGTAAAGGGAAACACAGCAATTGTTTAATTCTCATAGTACTAAGAAATTACTATTTTATAACATTTTCAATTAATACGGCAATATATTAGATTTGCCAGTTGGCTTGGGGCCCCAGGGGGGAACCAGAGCAATGGAGGTGGTTGATTGAGTAATAACACTCCACCCCATCCTCCCCATGGGTCTTTGGTTTTAAGGTTTGATTTTAACTTTTTATGTTTTAACTTAGGTGTAACTGTAAGCCACCCAGAGTTACATACATAGACACATACATAAATTTACCTTAATTGCTATATTGTTTGATTCTGTGGCCCCACTGGTAAAAATAATTTCTCGAGGATCTGCTCCTATTAATGATGCAACTTGCTAGAGGGGAAAAAAAGGAATGCACAAATGTAAATTAGAGCAGAATTGTTTGGAAAAAATCTGTAACATTTTTCAGAACAAAACTGCTTAACAATACAGCAGAAACAGATGTATTATTTAATTTTAAGAACAAAATAATATTCTCACCTGTCTGGCTTTTTCCATTGCAGTTTCACTTTCCCAACCATATGCATGAGTTCTAGAGTGTGGGTTGCCATAGTAATGCACAAGATAAGGCAGCATGCTATCCAAAACCCTTGGGTCCTAGAACATAAGATATATAGCAAGCCATTTTATTTTCTTTGTGCTCGTATTTGATTCCCATGAATGTCAGGAATATATCCAGATCTTTTAACAGAGATGCAATACGTAAGTGCATGTAGATGCATATATAAAAGGGCAGTGTAGTAATCCTAATTCAAAAAGGAAAAGATTTTGAAACTGCATGGGATACGGGCATTGCACCTGTCAGTCTCTCATTAAATCAAGCGTGTCCTTTTATAGGATTGTTTTTTTTTCCTTCCATTCAATCATTGATTCTCAGAAATTTCCTGGACAAGTCCCTGCAGGTTTTTTTGCAAGGTTTTTCAAAAGTGATTTCTCATTGTCTCCTTCCTATGACTGAGAAAAAGTGACTGACCCAACATTATCCAGCTTGCATTGTGCCCATGTTAGACTAGAATTCATGACCTCCCGATTTCTAACTTGATCATTACACCAAACTGACTCTCTCCTATGAGAATATAGCTTGTTTAAGAAGTTTCTGACAGATGTAATATTAGTAGTCTCTGTTCTCCAAATCATTTTTCCCCTTTGAATTCAGCTTTGATATATAATATTGAGATAGCCTTAGGCACTTTTTAAAAAAAAATTAACATATATATTTTCATTAATTAGGTTTAATACAGCATAGATGTATAGATAAGTGTAGGAATCAAACATTACAAATCAGAATAGGCTACTTGGAGATCTCCAGATATTTTGGATTACAACTATTATCCTCACCATCCTGATTTATGATGCTAATTTTTGTATAAAACATATGGAAGCCACCAAATAGCCAGTGCAATATAGTGATAAAAATCCTGTACAAGAACCTTCAGATTCAATGCCATTTATAGCAATGGAAACTCTTGCTGATTTGGGGATAGCCAAATCAGAACTACCTCACAGAGTTGTCATTGTGTAAAAGAATGAAGGGAGATTCTTACATATTCCACATTAAACTCTTGGAGAAAAATATGAGAATGTTATCTATTCCTAAAGAACATTTGACTGCAATGGGAGAGGTCCCTAAACAAGTGTGCATAAAACCATCCTTTTAGTTTTATTTTTCTGTTAGTAAAGAACAAAATCCAAAACCAGAATTTAGTTGACATACCAGAGAGGTAGTTGCTTGGACATCCATATATAGTGGTCGGAGTAAAGATTCATCAACATGGACTTTACCTAGCAAAAGACAACAAAACAATTCTAAGAAATGCACTTTGAAATGGGGAATGGGGGGGGATGGGAATGGAAACGACTCTGAACTCCAACTTCTTAAGCTTCTCACTGTATGAGAACCTGCCTCCAAAATGCAAGAATGCTGCTCAAACGTCACACCCTTTTTTACTTTTTTTTACTTTATCCTTGCAGGGGATACGCTTAGGAAAACGCCGCGCAGCAGACAGATATAATTAAATCTGAGAAAGAAGATGCCTGTATATTATTGCTGCTTCAAACTCAGATCTGCTGAATTCCAGTCAGGTCAGCCCTTCAAAAGAATGAGTTTACCTTGTTGGCGCACAGCCCCCGAAAACCTCCTTCCTTGGAAAACCACCCGCCCTTTCGAGACCCACAATGCCGTCGGCCGTAATATCAGCATCATCCCTTCTTTTCAGTTTTTTTTCCTATACGCTCCTTAACTATAACACAACGCAGCTTCAAAGCTCAGCAGCGCCTACAGTTAACCTTTCACCCTAGTCTGAGGTTATTTCCTGTTTCGTCATCAGACTGAGCCGGAAGCAGGTCGAACGGTAAGAGATCGTCGTTGGAGAGACTTCTCAGGGGTCGAGGTGAGAGACGGCCTCGCCGATAACTGGGCCGAAGATTTTATGTCAGGCGGCTCAGCATTTGAAGCGCTTCCGGGTTGATTTTTTTGTCCCAGTTTCTGAGGAGAGGCCTTTTAAATGTATTTGTTTATTTTACCAAGCTTAATTAAAGCTAATCGACCAAAAACGCTAGGAGCCGGGCGGCATATACATTTATACACAATAATGTGAAGTCACAGCTACCAGTGCCTTATCTGTGTTGGCCTAAATACGCGTCAATTTCTTTACTTAGTTCGGACTTAATGCTTTATGAACTCAGCCATAGTTATATCTTAGTGTGGTAGGCAGTTGAACGTTTGCCTATAAAACATGGTTAAAGAAACCCTGGTTTTCTATATGTCTTCGCGGTAACCTAGTGATCATCCCGATTTTGTCACTTATATATGTATGGTCGTTGTGGCTTACTATAGGTAACCCAATCACTTTTAAGACATAGAAGTTCAGGAATTCATAGTGAAAGAATACGGAAAAAAGACAGGTTCATAATATTTTAAAATCTCAAGATGTATGGCTAGTTTGCAGAAATGTGGTAGGGCCTTGTAGTGCATCTAGCTTTCTTTCCCCTAACAATTATTCACTGTCCCTTTTAAAAGTAGAGCTTAAGAAGTTGATAATTTTTCCTGAGAAAAGAAATTTGCTAGTTTATGGATTGAATATAAACTTAAGAACAAATTTGATGCTCATAATATGTACAAATATTAATGTAATTATACAGTAGGTTCCTATCACTGTCTTATAAATTGTTTAATACTGCATATCAGTGTCACATCTGCAGATTTAAAATACATATCTGAACGTTGGGGATAGTAAATTACCATAAAATAATTAAATTAGGCTCCCTGAATTAGTTTATTACTATTTGCATTCCAACAAATATTAAAAATGTGTTAATCATTTTATTTAGAAGCTGCTTAAAGTTTTTAATTTATTTTTGCTAAATAGATCTGCTGGAGGGGATCATTTATAGCAGTGGTTCTCAACCTTTCTAATGCGGTGACCTCATAATACAGTTCCCCATGTTGTGGTGACCCCCAAGTGGGTGTGGCCACCAATAAGAGGGAGTAGGACAGCTAGGGAAAAGGGAACAAAATGATGGACAGCATGGTTTGGCGACCCCCATGAAATGGTCGTTCGATCCCAAATGGGGTCCCGACCCACAGGTTGAGAACCACTGATTTATAGCATCAAGTTCAGAAATCCATATTAAAATATTTTTGAAAGATTATCTTTAGTCCTCCTTTTGAATATATACCTAGTGAAGCAGATACTATTTTTCTGGATAATTGGTTTCACTGTTGAACTGTTTTTACTTTTAGGTAATTTCTATTAGTGTTGAAGTGAAAACAATTTTCCTGCAATTTAGATTGATTATTCCAAGTTCTGTGCCTTGGAAAAAAAGGGAATAGATCTTGATCTACTTTCCTTCAATTGCGTTTTCTCCAAACCTAAATATACTTTGTTCCTTTAATCTTTCTAAATAGGTTTTAATTTCTAATCCCCAAATCATTCTTTGAGTTTATAAATCCTTCCTATAACATGATTCCCAGAATTGAAAACCATTCTCTAGGAGAGTCTTCCCCTTTATTGATGTCAGTGTTGAATCTGTGATCCCTGGATCCTCCTTTTTCTCCTTTTTGAAGATAGGGACAACAATTGCCATTCTTCAGTCATCTAGGTAATCAGTTCTGTAGGATTTCTTAAAGATAATATATGATTCAGCCAGAGCACGGCTATTTTTTTCATTAATTCTTTCTTAAGAAGCAATTTCTTATTAAGTCTTGGAAATTATTGAAATTAAATATGTTTCTCTTAAACATATTTCTGTCAGCCTCGAGTTTCAGTCCCACCCCTTCATCCTATTCTTCACAATCTTGTAGTGCAGAGGTCCCCAACCTTTTGGGCACCAGGAACCAGTTCCGTGGAGAAAGGTTTTTCCACGGACAGGAGAGTGCGTGGTTTTGTGTGCTGCCTGCATCCCATAGATGGGGTTTTGCTTCTTTATGCAGACCAGTTGCTGGCATGCCGCGGCCCAGTACTGGTCCACAGACCAGGGGTTGGGGACTCCTGTTATAGTGGAACACATTCTGTTGGATAAAATGGAAGCAGTCTTGAATCAGGGACTCATGGTGGCGTATTAGTGAAAATGTTAACTAGCTACTTAGATGCTGTAATTTTTTTAAAAAAGAAAATTTCATGTTTGGAATCTTTCAGAAGGATAATTCATGCATTCCTATAACATAAATGCTACTTTTCCCCCAAAATGTATTTAATATAATGAGATATAATACAATCAATTATAAGACATCAATCCAATGTAACTGTCTATGGAGATTCTCAGTCATTCAGGTCATAATTGTCCCAAAGATGCTTTATCATGAGGTAACTGGACTTTCTTGGGTTTTTTTTGTTTTTGTTTTTGTTTTGAAGACATTTTGCTTCTCATTCAAGAAGCAGAGCTGAAGAAGTTTCTTGAATGAGAAGTGAAACATCTTCAAAGAGAAAACAAGAAAAGCCAGTTGCCTCATGAAAAAGCATCTTTGGGCCAATCTAATGTAACATTACTCAGGGACAGCATGATCTTATTCATTTCCAAACGTTTGTTTTTCTAAAGGGAACATGTTTTTTAAGATTCTTTGAAAATGTAAGAAGGGGATAGTCTGTATATCTGAGAGTAAATTGCTCCAAAGGGAGCATGGAGCTTGCATGGTTAGGATGCTGGGTTGGAGGTTAACAAGCCTACATTCGAGACCAGTGCACTGTCATGGGGTGGGATTGAGTTCCTGTCCTCCACTCCAGCTCCTGCCTAGGATGTGAAAGAAGCCCCCAACTGGGTGTCTCCCTGGGCAATGGAGATGTCACTAGCTAATCCTTTCAACCCGAAGGGCCTCAGTGCTCCTGTCAGACTGGCCCTGACTTGCTCCCCAGGAACAACCCTTAACACCATAGGTGTTAGAAAAAAGGTACTTTTACTAGAGATGTTGAGTGCAACGTGATCAAGGCAAGCTCTGAAGAAAAAGCATGTATTGAAAGCAATCCCCAATATCCCAAACCCTCCCCCCAACAAATTCCTTTCCCAGGGCCAGTGCCCTTGAAAGCAGGAAAATGACTCAGTTAAGCACCTCTAATTCCTGTCAGTGTCCATACTCGCCAGTTTCCCACAAGATTCTTTCACACCTCCAGCAATCTTTTCCTCCCAAGTGCCCCTCCCCTGTTATGGTAGTTGCTAGCAAGCTTCAAAGAAGATGAAGATAGGCAGCTGACAGCTTCTGACACAAGTACAATGCAAAAAAACTGCTCCAAAGGGAATTCATTGAGAAGACTTGAGCCCAGAGTCTCTGAACATGGATTCCCTCAGTACTGGGATTCTCAGCAAGTCTTGATTAACAGGTTCCACTCAGAGAATGTAGTCATAGAGATACCTGGACCTGACCCATGTAAAGAAACAGCAGCTTGAATTTCACTCAGGAGCTAATTGGCAGCAATGTAACTCCCATACTAGTGATATTACATGAGAATTACTAGCCATGCCAATTGCATACTACACCATTTCAAGGGCAGCCCCATGTAGAGCCTATTTCTATAATCCAACTGCAAAGTGTTATAGGTGAGTCATTAAAGCAGTGGTTCTTAAACTGGGATAGTTTGAACGTATCCTGTAGTCTGCAATTTTTTGGGAAATTTCTTAAAAGAAAAACAAAGTCCAGTTGCCTCTTGAAAAAGCACTTTTGGGACAGCCATGACTTGGATGACTGCGAATCTACATAGACACTTAGCTATGCACTTTGGGATAAATGCCCTTCGAATGGTATGGGAGTATGAACTGATTTCCAGAAAAATTGCAGACTACCGAAACCATTTGCACTTAAGTTTGAGATGCAGACAACACAGAATCATCCCCAACAGCCTGCGCCTGTGTTCAGCAGTGAAGGGACACAGGGCAGAAAACAACCTGCAGAAAGCACAGTTCCACAACACAGTCCTTTCAGCAGCTCCAAGAGGGCTCCACACTCATTTGCACTATTCAGGTGACTCTGAGGACACAGACAAACCCCCGAGTGGCATCAACGCCTCTCTAAAAGAATGCAAATGACCAGCTTTCTGCAAGGAATGTAAACCTTTCCATTCAGAGCTGAAGAAGCTTCTTGGACGAGAAGCAAAACATCTTCAAAGAAAAACAAGAAAGTCCAATTCCTCTTGAAAAAGCACCTTTCAGACTACTGAAGAGTTTCTTATTCTCAATCTTCACAGTCGGTGCAGAAGATACCATAATCAATACTATCAAAGGCTGCTAGAGATCCAGCATAACTGGGATATGTGTGTTTCTATATTATCCTTGTTTATCTCATTATCAAACTTATTATCCTACAGATAATCAGGAAACAGGAGTCACTAAGAGTTTATGAAGAGTCTATGAATAACAGTTATTTTGAGTTTGTTTCTCATACTCTCCCAGGACTGAGAATTTTTTTTTTTTTTTTTTTGCGAACTGTTCCACATTTTCTTGATATGGAATATCATTTTAACACTGGTTTAGTCTGCTTTAATGGGATAGGACAAATTCATGGAGGAATGGACTGTAAATAGCTTATACTTTGTAATTTTGATAGCTGCTTATTACTGTCTGTTGTTTTTTGCCTTCAAGTCAATGTTAACTGCTAATGATTACCTGAACAAGTACCTGCAATTTTCTTGGCAAGATTTTGGAAATGGTTTTCCATTACTTATTTGCTAGGGCTAAGAGAATGATTGTCCCAAAGTCACCCAACCAGCTTGATGTTTTTACCAGTATACCAAAATGGCTCTTTACCTTAGATTGAGATATA